TGCTGGGAAATTCTTGAGTAGTTGCAGAATTGGCGACTCCTCCAGAAGGGCTCAGCCTCATGAGTAAGTAAGTAAGTAATCATTTCTTATTTAACAGGCAGACAGCAGAGAGTGGTACTTACTAACAAATGTAGTAGTGATAATGTATCTGATTGGGAGATAATTAAATGCGGTGTTCCACAAGGCTCTGTTCTTGACCCCCTGTTTTGTGCGGTCCACAATTGTATCTAATTTTATTATTTATGTGGTTTGATAGTGTATGTTATATTTTAATCATAGGTTAACCACATCAAGAGTGATTATTTATTGTTGACAAATTCTAATCCTTTAGGCATTTGGGCAAAAGGATTTCAAGAATGATGCATTTAATGATGTGACTCGTTCAAGTGTTACTGTTGTAGCAATAATGAATGCCAAATAAAATGAATGAATGAATGAATGTACGGAATTTGGTGCTTTAAAACACCAGTGTCTGGTCATTTAATGCTATAACTAAGTAACTACATGGAGCTGAGCCCTTCTTGAAAAGCTCTCAGTTGTGCAGCTTCTCAAATCTTCCCAACATTTTATGGTTTCCAAAGGTTAATTACTGTGTTCACAAGAGCCCTCCATTTGTCCCTATCTTGAGCCAAATCAGTCCAGTCCTTACCACTCCATCCTGTCTCTCTAAGATCCATTTTAATATTATCCACCCACTTATGTCTTAGTCTTCCTACTGGTCCATTTCCTTTTGGCTTCCTGATCAATATCCTATATGCATTCATCTTCACCCCCATTTGGGCTACATGCCTTGCCCATCTCATACTCCCTGACTTGATCACTCTGATTTCATTTGGTGAAGAGCACAAGTTATGAAACTCCTCATTATGCAGTGTTCTCCAACCTCCCATCACTTTATCTCTCTTCATTCCGAATATCCTCATCACCCTGTTCTCAAACACCGTAAGTCTATGTTCCTCAATATCAATGACTGATTTTCACACCCATACACAAGCACAGGCAAAATTATAGTTGTGTATATTCTAATTTTTATGTTTTTCGACAGCAGACGGGAAGGCAAAAGGCTTTGGACTGAATGGTAACAAGCATTACCCGAATTCATTCTCCTCTTAATTTCCTCACGAATCAAATTTTGTCTTGTTACTGTCATTCCCAAATATTTGAACTGTGCCACATTTTCAAAACATCTGATTCCTATCCTTATGTCCTGATTTTGCCCTGCATTTTGGTGACGAGATAGCAACATATACTTAGTTTTCTCTGCATTTACTTCTGGACCAACCTCCTTGCTTGCATCAATTAAAGTTTGTGTATTTTTCTTTATGGTATCTTCATTATCACCCAGTAGATTCACATCATTGGCATAGACCTACAGATGATGTATCCTGTTTAATGTCAGTCCCACCTGGTTTGCCTGGACCTTCCTAATGGCATATTCTAAAGCAAATGGTCTATCAGACAAATGTTAGATGTACGGTCTTTACTGTATGTTTCATTTAAACACATTTTTAATCTGTCTAATGCTGATCTCTTTTTGTCCATGAAGTGAATTGGGTGTTCTGGTGATTACTTTTAAAATGGTGTAGGAAGACTCAGCCTCTCCAGGCCATGGGGCAAAGTCTCAGAAGTGTTGTCAGTATGATGGAATCAGATCATAGAAATTGCTTTGTTGAGTGACACCTCCATAAAGTCTTCTGTGAGGAAGTGGTAGTCACAAGAGGTAGAGGTAAACCCATAATGACTCTTGCTATGTCTGTAGAATAGGCCAAGGAAACAAAACAAGAAAGGAGTCAGGATATGGAAAAATAATCATGTAATGTCGCTATCAAGGTGTCATCTCTAAAGGTTCAAGGCATCCCTTGGTGAATAGTCGTATGGCATCATAATTGATGAGAATTTCCTGAAGTCCAGCTTAGAGAGAGTCCAGAGTGTAGATAATTTTCTTCAGGTTTTTTACATGATAGGAGGAGTTCCCCAGGCATGACCTGATGTCTGTTGGTGTGCTCATAGCTGCAGTCCTGGTCCTCCCTTCCCTATATCTGTACCATTTTTTCTGCAATGAATATGGAGGAAGCAGGTTCCACAAAACATTGGTACCTATGTATGAAACTACCCAGCATCATATCACTGAAGACCATAATCTTTCTTTAATTTGTATAACAAACTTCCAGGCCCACTTGTGAACTTGAATGAATGAATGAATGAATGAATGTATAAGGGGTGGGCCTTTTTGGCCCTTGCACCGTGCACACAGTGATCTATTGTGCCTCCCCTTCTGATTATCCCCTCAACAATCCTGCACTTTGAATGAAGCATAGGATTTTGTATGTGGGGATGTCGAAATAGTCACCTGGTTCCATAAAATATTGACCCAAGTGACGCAATCTTAGATAAGCCAAGGGCTCACATTCGCACAGGATATGTGTGGCTGTTTCATTTTCTTCTTGACACCTCTCACAAGTTGGACTATTACTTAGTCCCAGTTTCAAGAGGTGTCCTTTGAGGTGACAGTGTCCTATAAGTAGTCCTACCACCCATCATAGCTGGTTCCTCTTTAACTTCAACAGTTCCTTCACTCTTTTAGTAGAGGGTCCTCATATGAGTCCCTATGCTTGCCTGAGTCCAGTCAAGGATCCCCAGTATTTCTTGTGATTCATATTTGTCCAGTCCCTGATTGCCTTTCTGGCGACTCCTATAGAGATGCCACAGCTGGTTCAGGTCCTATGAACGGATGTTCAGTTCCAATCATGGCCAATTGGTCTGCTATTTCATTTCCAGCAATACCCTCATGCCCCAGCACCCATATCAGTTGTACCCTGTTATGTTTGGCCAGTTCCATGAGAGATTGGTGGCAATCCCAGACCAATTTTGAGTTGATCTGGTGTTTGTCAAGCGCTTTAAGTGCAGCTTGACTGTCAGATAGAATGTAGATGTTCCTATTTCTGTAGTTCCTATCTAGATTCTCCATAATACACGTCTTAATGGCATATACTTCTGCCTGGAATACTGTTGTGTACTGCCCGAAGCTGAAACTAAGTTTCCACCTCATGCCATAGAAGAACACACCAGCTCAAGTGCCCTTGTTTATCTTTGAACCATCTGTGTACCAGATCAGTCCCACTTTTCTATTGGGCCGAAACCCGTCTTCCCATTCACTCCTGTCAGGAAATTTGACTGTGAAGGGTTTTTCATATACATGTCTCAATATCATTTTGTCAGACCCCATTTGTAATATGGGTTCTTTTTTCATGTCTGAGTTATGTATGCACGTCCGAAACTATCGGATTTAGGTTTCCATTGATCACTGCACTGGAGACGGTAGATTCCTGCCCTGGCCTCTGCCTCCAACTGTAGATGCAGTGGGGGGAGTCCAAGGAGTGTCTCCAGTGCTGCTTTTGGAGATGTTCGAATTGCTCCTGTGATACCCAAGCAGCCAACCTTTGCAATTTGCTAAGTTCTGCCTTGCCTGTCTTGAGTTTAACTCTGGGCCACCATACTGTGGCGCCATATGTACGAGTAATTATGGGTCTTACAACCGCAGTGTATATCCAATGCACAATGTGTGGCTGCAGTCCCCAAGTTTTACCACACGTGCTTCTGCATGTCCAAAAAGCCTTATGGGCTTTATTGATGACCTTGTCCAGCTGCTTTTTCCATGTCAGTCCCTTGTCTAATACTAGACAAAGGTACTTGACATCACTGGAGAGCTGGATCATCTTATTGAAGAGGGTCGGTTCCTTAAGGTCCTTTATATTTCTCTTCCTAGTAAACGGTGTTGTGGACTGAAGCCCAACTCCCGGTAATATGTTAACAGAGTACTAACTTTTTGTATTTTAGGGAAAAATATTGGTTGGAATAGATTTAGTCTTGGGAAATACTTGTAAGATGTACGAAAGCAGATGTAAGAAGGTTAAACAACTTAAAGGAATTTCTGCGTATGGACTTAGACGGACATTGGCTTGCCACGCGGGAATGTCCAGTCAGCAGAATGACATTGAAGGTACCTCAAAATGCTAACTTTGCAGAAGCAACACTTGAGCAAGATGGGGGGAACGTTGCAGGTAAAAGTGTTAGCCAAAGGGTCTAGCAGTAGAAGGGGGTGTGTCCCCTTAGGATCCCAGCCAACGAGATCACCCACCTCGGGATAAGACGTCATTGGAGGCAGAACTGCACCCCCCGGGAAAATAATGAGTTAGCATAAATAAAGGTATATAACCCAGGGACCAAATGAGTAAGGGGATTATTCAAACAGTAATTTTGGGCAGTTGTTGCCAGAGGCTATGCTAGGAGAAGCGCCGACTAAGCGCCGGGCCGCACCACCCGTCTGCCGTCTCAACACAAAGTAAGTGGAAACTACTCTTATCACCATGCTTAATAATTGTGATGTTATTAAAGTGTAACTCCTCCAGTGGGACTTGAGTTAGGAACGTTACACCAAGTGTACAGGGCGTAAGAGAGATCCACTGAGTGATGCAGAGGTAGCCAAGTATAATGTGTAACCCGACACCAGTCGGCTCTTTCATTGTGATAGTACCAAAATGTGTATAACTGTATATTCATTGTGTTTATACTAATATAGGGTAGCATAGGGTGAGGATGTGGGTTTCTGTTGTGATTTCCTCCCTTACCACATTTCGCACCTGCGCCCTCCAGCTAAGCCCGGTGAACAGTGAGCCTCTAGCCAACGAAGCAACGATAGAGGAGGTAATTCAGTCGTTTCGTTAGCCCTACCCCCGTGACTGCAGTACAGAAGGTGACAGTGGGGATACCTCCATGCCCCCTGTCACCACGGCATAACTGGTGGCATAACGGTGTAATTACCGTCTTATTAGGATTGATGGAAAGGCTTGTTCTTTCACACCATCATTGGCCCGTGTACAGAGCTGTTTGAAGACACTGATACTGTCGAAAGGAATTTTCCATTTCTGAGGATTGCTATGTCATCAGCATATCCTTCTGTATAAGACCCATCATCATTAAGTCCCCACAGGAGATCGTCAATGACCAGGCTCCACAGCAGAAGCAAGAGCACACCCCTCTGCGGACACCCTCTAGACATGGATGCCCTCAGGGTCTCTCCTGATAGTGTGACAGCTATGGTTCTGTTTTCCAGCATAGCACTGATCCACCTGCATATTGCAGGCTCTATGCCGTGCTTTCCAGAGGCCTGTTTGATTATATCAAATGAGGTTCTATCGAAAGCTCCCTCTCGCTTATGAATAGCATTACACCAGTGTATTACAGTAATATCCTTAATAACCTTCTGTATTTGGGGCAGCTGTGTAATGGAGGCAAAGTACTCTAGGATGGATGTGTCCCAGTTAACTGGAATCCACTGTACATATTGTGTGTTGTTAGTCACAGATTACTTACTGCATTTGGAACCTGTGTGATCTGTGGTAGCAGTGTAAACAAGTGAATTCTGTTTAAATAATGAAGAAACTAAGAACACTATGTGGTAAGTAAAATATCAATACCAATTGTATTTTAATAATTTTGGCACAGGTGGTGGTCTGAGGAAATCAGTGGACAGCAGCAAGAGGTTCGTGGGAGCAGGTAGTGGAGATTCAAATAGTCGGCAGAGCAGCCTGGATGGGAAAGAAGGTGAAACACAGGAGGATTCACAAGACTATGTCACCAGGGCCCTCAACCCATTTGGTAAGTGACACATCAGTTATATAGTCCACAGACCTATTCTGTAGGAAGCAAAAATGTTGGCCTTTGCCTTTCATATTCACTGACTCATAGTGTCAAAAATCAGGAGTTAGTTACAGTTACAATTCTCTTTCTATAGGTTGTACTATGAATGAGAAACAGTGACAAAATATTCTAGGAAGAACTTGAGATGCTGCGCTTCTGTATGTAGTTTCAGCTTTAAAAAGACAGCGTAAACTAATTATGGAATTACAGTTAAATTAAAAATTAATAATTATGCAGCTGAATGAAAAGTTATATGAGTTTCGCTTTCCACTACCTGACATTTGTGACATGTAACCTCAAATTTTCACACCATTTTTACATTAGTAATTCTTAACCTCACAGGAGAATGTTAATATAAACTGTATGTATGTGTAGTGTATTTGCGCTTTCATGTCCAATGTATGTTGGAAGCCTTCTCACTAAACCGGATTGTCTAGAGGTTCCTTGAATTGTATTTAGGAGGCGCTTTGTCTGAATCCTGGATGGGACACAAGCTACCCTGACTGATGTCTTTTGTTTTTGTTCCTCATCACTCTTAATCTCACTGTGTCATCTTTATTTTCACTGAACTGTCATCAGTGCTGCTGATATGGTCAATTGAGACATCACGTCACAAAGCAATTCTTGAGTTTAGTGTGTGTTACCTATCACTAGGCTTCTGCTATGAAGTGCACTGCAGACAACAGATCCAACTTCATCTGTGCAGCATCTAGGAACAGTCCCCTATTTATCATGACTGTAGTCCTCTGAATCAACTGCTTTCTTTAATGTTGTGACCCAAGATGTTTTATGAGTTGACTCATTTATGTTGGCTAGTAGTTGGTTGAGGCACTATGCTATGAGCCCGAAGGTCGCGGGATCAAATCCTGATGAGGTCATTGAATTTTTTTTCAGTTTACCTAATCCTTCCAGCCACACTATGGCCCTCGGGTCGACTCAGCTTCTAACAGAAATGAGGACCAGGAATTTTCCTGGGGTGCTTGTAACAGAAAGAATGCCAGCAACTTCATTATTTCATTTCTATTTGTTTCCTCCCACTGATGGGTCCAAGATCTTAGTTTTAGATTAGGTGTGTTTTCTAAAAAATCTTGGTCATACCAATATTTTTTCTCTGGCTATTACTTCTGCACTTTCTGGTGTAGGAAACAACTCAAAAATATTCCAGGGGGTTACTGAAAAATGTGGTCACTAAACACCTGACTTTGTCCATATGCCACGCTGCAGCAGTCAGTACCTCCCTGTCACACTCTGAAGTAACTAGAACATCTGGCAAGCACAATATACAAATTTGCATTGCTGACATATCTGCAGTGGTGTAGTTCTGTGGAGACGTCATACCCACTCAGCTGGTTAAGTGGAGGCAGGCTAACATCATGCAACATTAAAGGAAATTAGTAGAGGGTGTGACCCAAGACATTGGGCTCAGTCATAAAACTATAGGGGCGGACAAGCCTTTGCAGCAGTAATGGCACTTGAATGCATGAATGATTCCCAAATCTAAAGGCTGCAGCTGGCTGGTACAGTTGAGTGGGAGAAATGCAACTCTGATGTTGCTGAGAAATGTGATGTTCTTTGGATGGGCACCACGCTGCTCGGTGAAGAGCAGGATTTTACGATTCTAAGCACCCAGTTTTCTGTCTAATCATGTGAGGTAATCTTCATTTTTGGTAGACAGTCTGTTGACACTCATGAAACATTGTGGACTTTTATATTTTCCAGCTACAAGAGGTGGCATTTTACCACTACCATTGGCATTGCATGGGAGGAGTATGGTAACACACTGTTTAGATTTTGTACCACCATGACAAAAATCTTGTCAAAAAGTGAAGGTTTTGCTAGGTTGTAGATTGAAAACAGACCAGTCTCATCAGCATTATATATATCACCTTCAGTTTCTTCAAGTAATTGGAATTTTTCCAGATCTTTTACAGTTTATGAATGAACACTCCTCAGGTGGTAGAGTTTTCTGTAAGGAATGTTGTCTCCCCTTGTAAATCTGTCAATCCATATGTTGGCTATGCCCAGATAAGTGGCAATGTGCAAGGCCTTCTACTTGAGTTGGGTGCCATCTAGGGAAGTGGTACTCTTATGTGCTTGCCTGAACCATGCAGCAATGCAGGTTCCAGTTTCTCCAGTAGTGAATGTTCCAGTGATTTACACTGCTTGAATAAAGGTCCACACTGGGCGTACCTTATTTCAGTTTCTTGGTTCTTCACAGTAGTGTTTAGTGTGGACACTGAAAGTCTCAAGCGTGACGCCAGTTCAACGTGTGTCAGCGTGTTCATCATCTTGCACTGAAATATGTATTTTATCACTTATTGTGAATGATTTTCATTTTCCTTTATTATCTATATTTCATCCTTTTCATGGGAAATTCATTGTAGTCAAAAATGAAATTTGGTCTCTATGAAGCGAAGTTACATGGCAGTGAACGATTGAAGAATTTACCCTGAATGCGTTTTGTATGTTTCACTTGTCAAAACCCACACTGTGTTGCGGTTGACATTTTCTGAATGCTTATCAGACATGGGAGAGACTAATTGCTCTCATTGAGTTGTACTTATATCAAGATGCAGCATAATTAAAGCCTTCCTAGAGCATGAGGTGCTTGGACTGCAATTGTGGAAATATCCCCTCATGCGTGATATACCTCAGCGAAGTCATCTTGTGCCCATGAATCACTTGCAACTGTGCCTCGGCAAGTTAGTAGTATGTATTTTTAGGCAGAACCATTTGCAAGTCCATTGCTTCGAATAAGAAATTCTGAGAACTGAACTACAAAACATAGCAGTGAGTGAATTTTTATAACCAGGACTAGAAAAGTTAAGTGTAAATTCAGGGGAAAATGTGATGATGTTGAAGTGTAAAATTCAGTGAAGTTTAACATTGTTGTTATTGGTATTTGGCTGGAACCACACAAAAAGTGTGTAAATTTATGAAAAACATAAAATATGGGATCATGATCTTAAATGTGTCCAAGGGTGCTATTCCCATCATCTGGCCATTCACCAAATTCCTGTTCCAGCATGTAGAATGTCTTCATTTCATCAGGGTCTTGGTAACTTTCTTAATGGGGACCATTATGAAACAAGTATGATACAGAGGAAGATGTAGCAATGCCACTGCAGAACAAAACAAATTTCAATCCCAACTACAAACTGTTACAGTTTAGTCTACATTGAAGCTTCGAAATGTTTCAGAAGACTATGAAACTTCTAGTGTTGTCACATATTCATAAAAATGTAATCCAGATACTTTTGGATGATATCTGAACCATGTACCTTAAGAGTCGTATTTCCTTTATTTCTGTTCTCGTTTTTAAATCACTTCAATTTACATGTGCAATTATGCTACATTGTTATTTAAAATAATTTTATTCATTTAATTAGAGTGGTAAATTTGGAGCAATTGGTACCTACATCCTCTATCATTGTGGGTTCACTGATCTTCTAAACTAGCAGCAAAGCCCTGATTTTAGTTAGCAATCACGAAATAAAGCAACTTGTTTGTTACTCTTAACTGATGTTCAGGTAAGGAAGGCAACTAGTGCCTAATCCATAGTTCGACATGATTCCCCTCGGTTTTGCAGTGGAAATGGATGCAGTGAGGGTCAACAGTGCAGCAAGCCGAATCCTAGATTATGCCAGTGAATCTGACAGTGATGTAGAAGTCACTGTACGAGGTGAAACAGCAGAAAATGCCTCATCAGATGCTGAGAGTGTTGATAGTCAGATGGAAGATCTCTTCAAGTAAGATGTATAGATTTATGTTCATTAATTTTACACAGGGAATGCATTTATCCTCTGGTCCCATCCTTAGAGATATCCCATGACTATTTTTTATGGGATTATGGTGTTTTGGGGTATGACATTGGAGATTGTTACAATATTTTGGAGGAACCAGCTGCCTTTGCGATGTGGGGGTTAGAACATCGAATCCTTTGCCCATGCCCCTGCAGTACCCCTAGATACTAGCTGAGCAAATAAGACATTGGAGTATTCTAGGATTACTGGGTCTCAGGGATTCCCCCCGGCCCCAAACTCCCCCTGAATAGGAGGGCTTTGGGGTAAAAAACATAACTAAATATGTTGAATTTACATATTCACAAGTGATAAAGTGAAAGTATGTAACAGAGATGACTGGCAGTTTCCAGTTGGGTGTTTGTGGTGTATTTAAACTGCTGTCAGGAAACTCGCGAAGAATTAGCAACATACATCACCATGCTCCCAAGTGTTCAGTGCTATCAGTGTCTGTCTGTGCCACAACAGACCCTGTTATTAAAGTCATTTATGAATTAGGTTGAGTTCCATTTATTAGTAATACGAGGGTGTCAATAAGTAAGTTACAAATGGATATAGAACTTAAACAAATAAGAGTACTGGTTTGAAAAATGCTTTTATTTCCCAACATAATCTCCCTGTGCATTGAGGCACTTGTCCCATCGGTTCACAAGCCCCTGGAAACCAGCAGCATAGAATTCTTTGGGCTGCAGTCAGAACCAGGCGTGTTCACACAGCATGGCCTACCTCAAAATGCATGACAGGTTAGCTTTTCACGAAGTCTGTGCACGATGGGTGCCACGCATGCTGATCCCACAACACAAAATGCAAAGAATGGGTCTGGCATTACAGCATCTCAGTTGGTACCACAATGAAGGACACGATATGGTAGCCCAAATTGTCACAGGTGATGAGTCTGGGGTTCACCATTACCAGCCCGAGACAAAGCGTACATCAATATAGTGGGAACATCCTGCGTTGCCTGCCAAAAAAAGTTTAAGGTGACACCATCCTCCAGGAAAGTGATGCTCACAGTCTTCTGGGATCATGAAGGCATACTGCTCACCGCATTCTAGCCTCAAGGACAAACCGTAAATGCCGAATCCTACTGTAACATCCTCAGGAAACTTCGTAAGGCCATTCAACGGAAGCATGCAACCTGTCATGCATTATGAGGTAGGCCATGCCATGTGAACGCCTGGTTCCGACAGCAGCCCAAAGAATTTTATGCTGCTGGTTTTCAGGGGCTTGTGAAACAATGGGACAAGTGCCTCAGTGTACAGGGAGATTATGTTGAGAAATAAAAGCATTTTTCAAATCAGTACTCTTATTTCTTTAAGTTCTATATCAATTTGCAACTTACTTATTGACTAACCTACATAATACATATATGTGCATGCATGTGTTGTGACCAAGATACTGTTACAGGTAATGTGGAAGTGAAGAACAATTGTTGTATGTAGGAGCGCCTGTAAGACAAATAATAGGAACTGCTGTTTCACAGGTTCGGAATCCTGGGTATAGAGGATAATATTTCTTCATAATTGTGTAATATATTTGACTTGAATGTCAAGTTGACTTCACCTCTGAGGTTTGGTTTGGGCTTTCTTAGTCACCATGGAGATAACTAAAGATTACTACTGCTCTTTGCAGGCATGCTGGAGTGTACACAGCCGAGGAAGTGACATTGGTGACAAGGGACAAATTGATTCGGCTGCAGTCTCTATATATAGAGCAGTTCCGTCGGCTGCAACACATACTGAAGGAAAGACGGAGGCGCTACCTGCATGCCCTGAAGCGTGAAAAGGAGACACTTTGTGAGTAGAGAAATGTTTATTTTTGAGAAATATAGCTACAAATTAATAATATTGTGACATAACTGAAAGTAATTGTCCATTGTAAAGTTACGGTTCCTTACACACATGGTGACATCATTAAACAGACATCTTTTGCTGCACAGTGGCCAGTAAACAACATATGACCATGGAAATGGTTATGCATGCAACAGGAATACAAGGTGGTTCAAATATGACCGGGACTGAGTTTTTTAAAAACCATAATTGCCAAACACTTACTTGCACATGTCAGTCTTCAACTTACTCCCCTCTGGAGTCAACACATTTTTTCCAACGTTCTGGAAGAATCCTGATGCCCTTTTCAAAAGAGGCTTGTGGTTGGCAGCGTTTACACTCCTGAACAGTCTGGATGACGGCGTCCACAAACTGCATGCCTTGCAAGTCTGATTTGAGCCTTCCAAACAGCTAGAAATCACTTGGGGCCAAATCGGGACTGTACGGCGGATGTGTCAGAAGGTTCCATTTCTATTTCCAGAGGGTTTCCATTGTTGTTTTGGCCGTATGGGGGCGTGCATTTCCTTGAAGGAAGGCTACCCACTTTCCACCTGTCTTCCACTTGGATCGGACCTTTTCCTTCACGTCTGTTGCCAGGAGGTCTGAGTAATAAGCTGCATTGACTGTTCTGGCATCTGTTAGAAAGTCTACATGGATAACCCCCTGCCAGTCCCAGAAGAACGTTGCCACCACTTTTCCTGGCAAACTGCTCCTCCATGCTTTCTTGGGTTTGGGAGAACTGGTATGCTGCCACTCGCGTGATGACTGCTGGGACGCAGGAATGAAGTAGTGCACCCATGTTTCATCGGTGGTCACTATAGAGTTCAAAAATGCGTCACCATCTTCAAACTGCTGTAGGAGAAGACTGGCAGCTTGCATGCACATCATTTTGTTCACGTCCGTCAAAGTGCATGGTACCCACCGTGCATTCACCTTGTGATAGTGCAGGTGGTATTTCACAATGTCTTCTGCACTACCAACACTGATGGACAGCATTGCTCCAAGTTTCTTGATAGTGATGCGCCTATTATCACGAATAAGCACGTCTACACGATCAGTGTTTGGCTAGGTGACGGATGTTCGCGGCCGACAATCGTTCGGTTCATTCTCCACGCTCTCTGCCCTCTCTGAAGCACTTACACCACTCAAACACATGGGTCCGTGAGAGACACTCTTCCCCATACTGTTGTTGGAGTCTGTGGCGAATTTCAGTGGACGGGACGTTTTCACCAACGAGGAATTTGATCACAATGCGGTGTTCCACACTCCACGGTACCTTCTGTTCGCCCATCACTCTCGCAACTCCCAGACAGGACTGAACAAGTTCTAACCCGAACAGGAGGAAGGGTGGAGGTTGTGGCTTCACTCTCTCAAGGTCTCACAGCTGCTGCGCAGTGTGGCTTGTTTACACACAATCAGTCCTGGTCATATTTGAACCACCTTGTAGTTCGAAATAGTGTTCTCTATTGGGTCTGCCCCAAAGCTGTATAACAAGCATAAACTAGACAACTTATCAGTTGAGAATGTGAGATGGAGTCATGGATTAGGTGCAGGACAATTGCCAGCTGGTAGTGATATGATCACAGAAGCAGAGGACATTGTTGGGATCCATTATCAGGCAAGGTGAAGACGAACTGAAAAGACTTAGCATGTGCTGTAATGAGAAGTAAAGTGTGTGTGTGTGTGTGTGTGTGTGAATTAGTGATAGTCCTATAATTCTTTGTAGTTATGATTTATAAGCATCCAGTAAATCAGTTACCAATCCAAACCTCATGTCTAGTTACTAAACAGCTGGCAGCTGATGTCAGAAGTGGGATTGGCTGTATTGGAACCAACATGATAGCTTATTGTAGTTGACATGGAAGATCTGATAGCTGTATGGGAACTGTAAGCTGATATTAAGGCCACAAAGCTGGTCAAGAAGAGATGATAGCTGAAATGAAAGCCTGCAAGAAAGTGACAAAGGCCTGGTTAGAAAAGATGGAGGCCAAGGTGGAGGCCAGTCAAGAAAAGACAGAGGCTGTAGCAGAGCACTACAAATGGGTACCATGTGCAGAAGCCGTGAAGAAATGGCGGCTGATGTTCTACCCAGAGACCTTAATGGAGCAACATACTAGGAGCATGTCAGGGCAGCTGAGGACCAATTTGGGCTCCAACTGGCCGTAGGATACCTCAAACAACTGAAAAGGTGGACCCGAGATGATTTTAGGAGACTGCCACTACCATTGAGCAGTTGGCCCACTATGCCTTTCCTGTGCTACACAAGGACCACATTAGTAAGGGACCAGACAGGGCATTCATCAACAGCATAAGAGGGTGAAGCATAAAATGGCAGCTACATGTGGGAAGCAAGGGGACACTAAACTAGACTCTCAGGCAAATCCAAGAGCTCGAGATCATAAAGCTGGTAGTCAGGCTCCAGAAAACAAATGACAGGATATTTTGGAGGAGCAGGTCTCCCTTCCAGACAAAAAAGACTGAGCTTACATACTGGCATTGTTGGAGCACAGCCATCTTTGAAAGTTCGATCCCCACAAGCATAAGAAGAAATGACAGTATGTCTATGTGCTACTCGGGACAAGCCATTGCTCAAAAAAGGCTGTTCATTTGCCTATTGCATAGCAGTGGCTGTACTCCTTGTTTGTTTCAGGACCTTTGCCTACGAACAGGTCTATACACCACAGTATTGAATGTTGCAGTTGAGTGGGTACAATTCTGCTGTGTTTGCAAGGTTTAGCGCATTCAGGGACCAGTCACATGATACTATGATTTTAGGACATGTTAGGTTGTAACACAATATACCTTGCTCTGGCGCCACCCAGATGAATGACTACTGCATAATATTACTCCGGAATATTTGCTAAGTAGGCAGTAACTTGACCTCGCTGTTTTAGTTCCCCCTCCAAAGGAAAATGAACTTTGACCCTTCAAGCTGTTATGTACCAGGCAGGAAGTTAGTGCAGTATGAATCAAGGACAGAAATGGTTGAAGACAAAGCGATCTCGGAGAACAAGAAATATCTGACTTGTTCTCCGATTTGCTATCTGACGTTCCTTCTGAGAGGAGTAGTGAAAGTGACTCAGGCAGTTTCAGTGACGGGACAACAAACAGTTGTGGCCAGAGACAATAAAAGTGAAAGTAGCTCCGACGAATGTGCAGGTAGAAATGCAGGTAGTAAAATTGCAGGGACAGCCACATGGGGAAAAGTAGACAGAATGTCTCCTTTGGGACAGTTTACTGGAAATCCAGGGGTGAAACAAATTCCATCAGACCCAACATGGTGAAACCACATTCAGGAGGAAGGGGGATATTCTTCAGTCCTGGAGGGATACTCGTGTTGTGAATATGATTTCCACAATTCACAATTTGAGCATGGTTGATGTTCAAAGGAGACATGGACAGGTAAAGAAGCCTATTTGTATTTCTGAGTATAATATGTTCATGAAAGGAGTAGATAGAGCCGATCAATACTTGGCCTATTATTCTCTTCCTAGGAAAGCAATAAAGTGGACAAGAAAGTTGCCTTGTGGCTTATAAATTGTGCCATTTTCAATTCATTTTTGGTTTATAAAAATCTAAACCCTGATTTGAAATTGAAATACAAAGCTACAGACCAGATGGTGGCGGCAGACCGAGAGTCAGACACAGACTTAGTGTGACCGGGCCCATCAACTCCCACCCCACGCAGGCCTCATGTGGACCCCCTTGGGCGACTCTCAGGTGATATGCGGAAACATACGCTCATGAAAATTGTGAAGGGTGAACATTCCAAGGGAAGCATCCTTCTAGGCAATGCCATGTTTGCGCAATTCACAGAAAAAGGAGTATGACTGCCTACATTTGCAAGTTCTGTGTAATGCCACTTCACAAAGGGGAATGTTTCCAGAAATATCACACTCTCAAGCACTTCTAGAAGCATTGGTAAGTGTTCTCCAAAAATTTTAGTTCATAAAATTAATGCTTTGCGGACCAGCAATTTAAATATTTAAATCACCCTGGGGACCGGCATTTTTAAACCTACTACCGTAACTTGTGCACTGTTCACTTCAAAAATTAATATAAAATCTCCTAATTAATTTTATGAACTAAAATTTTTGGAGAACACTTACCAATGCTCCTAGAAGTGCTTGAGAGTGTGATGTTTCTGGAAACATTCCCCTTTGTGAAGTGGCATTACACAGAACTTGCACATGTAGACAGTCATACTCCTTTTGTTGTGTACTGTGCAAACACGGCATCACCTAGAAGGCTGCTTCCCCTTGGCATGTTCACTCTTCACAATTTTCATGAGAGTATGTTTCCGCATATCACCCGAGAGTCACCCAGGGGGGTCAAAATGAGGCCTGCGTGGGGTGGGAGTAGATGGCCCCAGTCGTACTAAGACTGTCTGCCGCCGGTTCTGCCACCACCGTGTGGTCTGTAGCCCAGGCTTTTGCCACATTCAGCAGAAATGCCTTGTATTTCAATTTTGAATGAGGGTTTAGATTTTTGAAAACCAAAGATGAATTGAAAATGGCACAATTTATAAGCCACAAGTCAACTTTATTTGTCCACTTTACTGTTTTCCAAGGAAGAGGTTCACTCTTCACAATTTTTACGAGGGTATGTTTCCGCATATCACCCGAGAGTCACCCAGGGGGGTCAAAATGAGGCCTGCGTGGGGTGGGAGTAGATGGCCCCAGTCGTACTAAGACTGTCTGCCGCCGGTTCTGCCACCACCGTGTGGTCTGTAGCCCAGGCTTTTGCCACATTCAGCAGAAATGCCTTGTATTTAAATTTTGAATGAGGGTTTAGATTTTTGAAAACCAAAAATGAATTGAAAATGGCACAATTTATAAGACACAAGGCAACTTTCTTTGTGCACTTTACTGTTTTCTGAGGAAGAGAATAATAGGACAAGTACTGATCGGCTCTATCAACTCCCTTCATGAACATATTATACTCGGAAATACAAATAGGCTTCTTTACCTGTCCATGTCTCCTTTGAACATCAACCATGCTCGAATTGTGAATTGTGGAAAAACAGTTCCGCTACTTCAGACACTTATGTTGGGTCCAATGGTATTTGCTTCACCCCTGGATTTCCAGTAAACTGTCTCAAGGCAGGTGTTTTGTCTACTTTTCCCCATGTGGCTCTCCCCGCAATGTTGCTACCCGCACTTTCGTCAGAGCTATTGTCACTTTCACTTTCACTGTCTGTGGCCACAATTTTTTGTTCGCCTCTGCCACACTCACTATCAGATTGTGAGTAGCTATCACTAGCGTACTCACAAGGGACGTCAGCTCATCAGAGAACAAGTCAGATATTTTTTGTTCTCCGAGAAAACGCTTGGACCCCAACCTCTTCCGACCTTGATCCATTTTGCACTAGTAACTTCCTGCCTGGTGCATGCAGCTGGAAGATGAACAAAGGCGTTTTCTTTTGGAGTGAGAAAGGAAAACAGTGGGTCATAAACAGCAGGGTCATGTTACTGACTATGAAGCAAACATTCAAGAGGTCTGTCACGCACCAGTCATGCGTCTGCCTGGCGCCAGTGCAAGGTATATTGTGTTTCAACATAACATGTCCTAAAGTCATACTAATATGCCACCGGTCCGCAAAATGTTAATTAGGAGATTTTATATTAATTTTTAAAGTGAACAGTGCACAAGTTACGGTACTGGGTTTAAAACTGCTGGTCCCCAGGGTGATTTTAAATATTTAAATTGCCGGTCCTCAATGTGTAGGCACAGGTTTCTGTTGCTTTGGTCTCTCCAGGCATATTGTGAGATCATATACCTCATCCTTCACAGTTCACCTTTGTAATCTATGTCTTGTTCGAGCCTATAAAAAACAGTACATAAACCAACATATGTCATCTGTAATATACTCCTGATAGAGGCAATGATTGTAATTATCAGAAATCTCTGAAGGTACTCTCAAGTGAACCAGTACTGAAGAAAGATTTTGATCTATGGCTGCTAGAGAACCTCGTAACGTGAATTTCTTAGATTCTTTTTTCAGAAATAAAGCAAGTGTGAATGAAAGTAGGCAGTTGATTTGCATAGTATTGTATTGCAGCAAGCATCCACAACCAGAGTCGAGAATCTGTGCGGGAACAGAAGTTGTATGAGAAACTACGCTCACTGAATCATTACCATAAGAGAAGTGGAGTTGAGGCAGTGCTTCACAAGAAGGCCTTGGAACGACGAGCTCATGCCACTGAGGGTGTCAACATTCGACCTGCACCCACAGCCAAGTGCATCTTCACTGAAGGTGGTGTAAAGTGTGGAGAACGCACACTGCCAGTTGCCAAACACTGCCTGAAGCACATCCTTGAGGTGAGAGTATTACTAAGGGTGCTGTCTCCTCATTCCATATTCAAGTGTGATTAAGAGCATGCAGTAAATGAAAGGTGATTGGCTTATGCAGAAGTTTGATGTGGAAATTCTTTAAGTTATATGTGTCCCCTGGGTAGTGCAAAATGAGCAACAAACCTGGCAAAGCTTCCCAAAAGCAAGAACTTGAGTGCTCTCTATTGGGAAGCAAGAAGCAAAATGGGTTAAATGATCCCAAATGCAGCCACTGGAAACCAACATTTAAGAATTGATCTGTTTGAAATTGAGATCAAGATAGAAAGATCGTATGAAAATGGATTTTATATGTTTTTGTAATTGTCCAGCCATGTCCTTTTGTTTGTTGAATTTTCACCTTCTCATGCCAGGGTTTCAGTTAGATGTATATTTTAATTATGTAAACACTGGTAAATAATAAACTGATTGAACCATCAGCCTGTCTGTATAAGTAGCGAACAAGAATGCTGATCTCAGTTCTTTAGCTCCATTTAATGGCTTATTATTTTGTGGTGGCCTCTGACCAGTGGGAAACGTGAGGGAAGCCAAGAGTAAAGCGAGCAAGATGTTGAGCTGCATTGTTACTAGTGGAAACAACTTAATGTTGTCGTGTTATAGTATCATGCATGGTTTTTAATGTTGGACCACCAACTTTTGACTGACCACCACTTATGCAGTTTATCCATAAGTATGCTTGATAGTATCTCTTTGGGTAGCATATAAGAATTGATGTTTTTGTGCTTTGCTGGTATTGCCACACTGAAGTCTTCACACTTATCCTCTCATATGTAACTATCAGGAAACTGACACAACCAGCTTTCATTCAGGACTAAAATTCAGCAGGCTACATAATGTTAGGGCTGTAATTACACAGCATTTTATCTTTAGTTCACCATTTAATTTAAAAATGTCTTAACATCCTCACATTTTACTACCATAAGGCCATGTCAGTGAATGCTTCAATTTACTACTGAACAATAAACAGACAATAAATTTCATGGCTGTTCTTCTTTTGCTTTGGAACTGAAATTATGGTGAGACCTGGCATGTTACATACTACATTCATATTATGTAATGGACAAAGTATGAATATTAGCATTACATTTTTATTGTTATTGAAAACAACAGGCCCATAGATGTAGTATAGGACAGTGATGTTCATTGTTTAGCAACGAGTTCAAGTCATTGTTTAAAGAAAGTATCTGACCATAGTAAAGACAAAGACAAAGCTTGTCTCCTTCTGAGATTGTTTTTTACAATTATATACATTTTGTTATTAAAAATTAATGGAAGTTTTGATACTTCATGCCCCACACAGCCTTGACAGATATGAGCATAAGACAGTGCTGTTTGATGTCATTTTTAAAGCAAGAACCATTTTGTTATAAACAAAAGAAAACTTTATTCATCCAAATAATTTTAATGTCACTACTAGATACAACATATGTTTATTTTTCTATATAGTCCCCATAGTGATTCAGGCATTTGTTCAGACATTGCACAAGCTTGACGATCCCCTCATCATAGAAGTTGGCCGCCAGTCGATTTTACCAGTCTGTAACTGTTGCTTTCACTTCTTCATGAGTTACTATCCGTTTGCCATCCAAAAACACTTTCATTTTTGGGAAAAATGCAAGTCAGAAGGCACCAGGTCAGGTCTGTAAGTTTTTCCCAACCAGATTTCTCTAACAACTTTGTTGTTTTTCTTTTCTTTTTTTTTTTTTCTCCAGTGTGTGGCCGTGTGTTTGACATGAAGTGGACACAGACCACTAGTGATTAGGCCCCATCGGCAGTTTTGGATAGCATGCCGTAGCCTCATCCATGTTGTGCAATATGCATATGCATTAATGGTCTCCCCATGGGGCAAGAAGTCAATCATAAGAATGCCTTTCCTATCCCAAAAAATACGCTGGCCATGATATTTGAAAAATTGAACATGTCTGCTTGAATTTTGTTTTGATTTTTATTTATTTATTTATTTTATTTTATTTATTATTATTTATTTTTTTTTTTTGTTAGAGTGTGGGCATGATGGCATTCTTGAGACTGCTTCTTACTCTGTGGTGCATAGTGACAGTGTGGTCCCAAGAATTCATCACCCGCTCCATGGTAATATTCCAAAAACGACAGAGCAGCACCCATGCGTTTCTGCTTGTGTTTATCTGTGAGCATTCTTGGAACCCATCTGGCACAAATTTTTCTTTATCAGAGTTGAACTGTGACAGTCTCATAGAGGGCAGATTGTGAAACATGGGAAGACTTCATGAAGCTCATTAATAGTGAATTGCCTGTTTTCATGAATATAAGCAGTAACCCTGTCTCTCAAATCCTCGGTGATGACAGACGAGCGTCCAGATCACACTTCATTTTGCACATGTCCTTCCTCCATTAAACAAATGACACCACATACACACATTCCCTTGATTCATGTCATCTTCCCCATACACTTCAGCAAGTTGGTGGTGATGGATTTTGGGAGGGCGAATGTTTTTCGCGTTCAAAAACTGAATCACCGAATGCACCTCACAGTCAGCAAGATTAGTGAGTGACGTGGTTCTTTATAAAGCACTGACACAGCAACCAATCCACTCAGTGACTCGGCAAACACTGGGGACATGACATCAGCTCTTAACCTTCAAAAACCTTTGGTAAATGACCTACAGAAATGGTTCTTACTTTAAAAGTGACCCTTGGAGCTTCTTGTTTCTGATGGAATTCCCAGTTTTGAGGTTTCTCAACAACTGTGCGTATGATAGTGAATACACTTATCATCCAGGATTTTGGGATAGTGCTCATTTTAGGAAAGTCACTGTGCCAGGACTGGTATGTGCTATACATTGTTGTCTGATGCAGACATTTGCTAGAAGGAGACCTTTATCTTGTAACTGTGGAATGTGCGGTTTAATTGTGAAGTGATACACTGTACCTTACATTGAGAATGTTCTTGCAGGACACACACCAAGTTCTCTTTCGCCCTTGTGGTTGTCGGAGGGCAGATTTTGTGTGTCGAGAACCGGTACCCAGTATCTTGGAGGGAGCGTCATGTGTTTATCACACTAACCTGCCCCCACCACCACCACCTCTGCCAGCAGCAAATTTAGGTTTGAAGGTAAAAGTAGGTTCATATATAAATGTGTATTATTTGGCAATAGAATCATGTTGATGTATGTTCTTGTTATTTTTTAATGTTCTGTTGATGTTTTACTGTATTCAGACTTTGTGGTAAAAAGAAGGGAAAATATGACACCACTGATCTACATCATAAAATACCATTTTCATCCCTCAAATTCTTAAGATACTGAGGATCAGAATCATGCACACTTAAAATAAAAGATTGCTCCTTTTATTCTTGTTAACAGATTGAAAATGGCAGTGAAGAAACAATGGAAACCTCACTCTCTGCTAAGAATAATCCTTTACAGGCTAAAGTGAGCACGACTTCACCATCCACTCAAGATGCACTGCTATTTGGGAACCATATGACATCCAGACAAAGCTTGAAGGATCCGGGGGAGAGCAGTGGAGCACAATCCATCAGTGACAAGACCACAGCAGAGAGTATGCAGGATTGTAAAGGAGAAAATAATGGTATGGATGATACAGCGGTTGCAGAGATTGAAGCCCTTAATAGAAGAAGTGAAACTGACATGACAACCAACAGTTCGTAATTGTTAAAAATAAATATGAATGTTTATGAGTCAGAAAGAAAAGACACATCACCAGCAGAAGTTACTGTATTGTATTAACTTTTTGTGATCTGAGTCAATTTCACAAATAAATATTTGATTATATTATTTTACTGGTGTAGCTGTACAGTTCTGTGGATCACACCCAGGCTTGTTTTCCTAAGTGAAGACTACATATCCTCACTGTTTCTTTCCTTTGGGTCGTCTCTGTAAAGCCCATATGGTCACTTCTCAACTTAAGATTTGTAAGGAATTGTATTCTTTTTGTGTGTCAGCAGAGGCAAGGGTTGGCAGTCCTTCAGGGAGCTATATGCACTGAGACCCATGAAGGGAAAAAGTGCCTGATTCTTAAGGCGAACGCTTTGACTTAGCATCTATGGTACAAGACTCTGAATCTGGGCATGAAGCAAGGTGGACAGTCCATCCTGCACCAGTGCACATGGCCAATTAGTTACTATTTTAGTTCATTTATCTCAAAGCCATAACCTGACTTCACACTGAGGACTACAGTACACTTATTTAAATATATACCAGCTTTATGAATGTGAAGTGTTATGCTGTATTATGCAAAAGAAATATCAAGCACCATTACATCAGCAGTTCTACTTGAATGCACACAGTATGCCCGGAGATGAACTCAAGTTTGGCTGTAGTGGCCAGTTACAGCAAAATTGATGCAACAACATTGTGGCGCAATTCATGCATAAGAGTGGAACATAAATAACAGTGATAATACATGAATTTACAGCAGTTTATATCAGTTCTTTGGATATACCCCAACCCCAAACAGGAAGAATAAAGAAAGACATCATGGCGCCTGGAAGCTAGACCTCTGAGCAACACCGCAACCAACAAAGTTAATCACCACCACCAATATATCCCTCATAATGAGGAAGTAATAGTGTGATATTAAATTATTCTACCCATTTTAACTCCATCACTCACCTTTTGTATCCAGATCAGAAAGGTGTTTTCTCTATCACTGATTATGATTAACAGAGCATTAAGGAATCGTGTTATGGAACTGAGAGTGTGAGAATAGTGAAACAGACCTTCCATGTGACGAGTGAGGAAACTTTTCAAAACTGTATGATGTCCACAGAAATTTGCAAGTATAGCAGAGAAGGAAAGAGCACAAGTTTCATTGGGTGAGAATTTGAAAGCAGAAGGGACAGTCAGGAGTGAATAATAATGAAACAGGCTCACTGCATGAAGTTGTAGGCCATGTACTAAGTAGATTAAGTAGCCTGCAATCGGATAAGAATGGTGAGCTTAATGCATTCAGATTGGAAGTTGAGAAATTAACTTCTGGGAAAGAAGTTTTGGCAATGAAAATTGAGACTCTTAAATTCACACATGTTGTTCAATTACTTAGGGAAGGCACCTGACATAAGATTGTAGAAATTAGGAATGACATGCAAATGTTATCAGACAGTGTGGATAAAAAGATTGGATCGACATGTAGAAAGCATCAAAACTGTTCAGTGAGAATTAATTCAAAAGGAGGGATATGAAACAAAAGCTTTGGCTACTGAAATTGTAGACAGGCGAATGGAAGCAGAATATGACTGGGGTCTTATGCAGCAAGATAAAGACAAGCTTTGCAAAGTGACAGAAAAATTGGGCTTGGAAGAAGAGTAGAGAATTTCAGTTGCATGATAATATTAGCACTGTTGGTAACGAAAACAAAAGGTTTGAATAAATGAATTCAGAAACAGAGTTACTGAGTATAAATATAGGGAGAGAATCTCTCAGCTAATGAAAGTGCTAGCCATAAATCAACCCTTTCATGACACTTCTGTAAATGTAAGTGATGCAACATTGCCAACTGACAGGCAGGGCAGTATGTTGTGTGAATGACTGTAATGTTGCTGCCTGTAGTGCTGTATTGCATGCCAATGAACACTGTGCCTGAGCCCATTCAATTCCTGAACATTCCACACATTTACAGTATCCAGGACTGACACTCCCCATATTCAATCAAAGTCAGAAACAAAATGCTTTGTTTTTCTTAAGGGAACTAGATGCATATTTCAAAGCAAGGAGAGTACCAGCATCACCATTAGCTATATTAGCTACAGACATATATGCAAGGGAATGGCTCTTAGCTGTTGTGCATGACTTGTAATTATGATGAATTTAAGCAAGCCTTCACAAAAGAATTCTGGAATGACCACTTAATGTCAAAGACTTGTTGCGCCATCAATAACGAGAGAGAGCAATCAGACAAATCCATGGCTGCTCACTTTTTAAAAATTCATAGTTCGAATGACTTGCCTTCAGCTGATGATGACAGAATGAGATGTGGTGGACGCTGTAACGCAGCACTGATAACATATAAGATGTGTTAAATTTTTTAAACAAACTGGAAGATTGTGAAAGTAATAAATCGAATACAGGAATTGCACCATGGAACCTCCCACAGAACTTTACATGACTTTTCAAAAACTGTCTAAATGACAGAACAATATCAAGTGGGCCAAATGTATTTCTGTTTGGGCTACCGGTTTTGTAGAAATCAACAGATTTTCTCACAACTGGAATAGGCCACTTTCACCATAGGTTTCAGGTCAAGCCAATTTAGGCCCTCAAGCTTGCCCATATGAACCAAGATGGACAGAACCATTGAATTCACCTTCTGTGAGACAATGCAACGACAATGCTGGTGTGCAGCACAAAGACCCATATGAAAAAAAGAAGGTAAAGCTATCCATGTAACAGGCCAGGAGGCCCATAGGGTTATGAGACACTGAGGGTCCCACATTATGTAGACAATTGGCTCACAGGTGGAGGCAAGGTTGTCAGCCTTATGTGCCGGCCGCCCTTAACCCCCCCCCAGAACATTCCTGGTACTCATTTCTGTTAGAAGCTGAGTCTACCCCAGGGCCAAAGTGTGGCTGGAAGGATTAGGTCAACTGAAAAAAATCCACCTCATCAGGACTCAAATCCGCGACCTTCCGGCTTGTAGCATATTGCCTCGGCCAACTACGCTCAAATATCCCATTCGTATCTCTTAAACAGCATGGGTCCACACAAGACAAGTCCATTTCCTGTCAGTGACAGACTGGAAGATTTGAAAGTGTATCAGAATACTGAATTAAATGAGAATTTCCATGAAAATGAAATGCTGATGTATTATACTGATGATTCCAAATTACATAACTGTCCGTATGCAAAATTAATTTGGGAAATGAGGTGTACAGCATTTTGGACAGTGGGACTCAAATTTCAGTCTTATCAGAGGAAATCTATGACCAGTTGGTCTCACACAGGTTGAATACAGAAGAGATTCCTGCCCAAAATGCAGTTTTAATATCCAATTTCGGAAAGCAGTCCCAGTGTCTAAGAAACAGGTCCTCTTTGAAATATGCATCAGTAAAGCGGTGTTTGAGGAGTGTTTTCTATATCCAATTACATCCATGATCCTCAGGGCAAACTTCATGACAGAATATGGTACAGTTATGGACTTCAGAGAAAGATTTTTTCAATATGAGAAAGAAGGGACAAGAAGGAGGTGTAAGTTTGCTCAGGATGTGGAGACAGTGACGGTTACGGACAGAAATCAGCTTTGGGAAATAAGAATGCAAAAATAATTATCCAAATAATTTGCCAGGCACACACCGATCAATGTTAACAGAGATGATCCATTGCCCATTAGCAAATCGTAACTGTCTGCAGGCTTTTGTGCAAAGTAATAAATGACGAGATGTTCCATGAGGAGGAGGATGATTATGTGACAACAGTCTGGATATAATGTAATAATATGAGAAGAAGTGTAGTGCTGTGTTATGCTAAAGATAAAAAAATCAAGCTTCATTACAACAGCAGTTTTACTTGAATGCACACAATATGCCCTGAGATGAATTCAACCTTGGCTGTAGTGGCCAGTTACATGGGTGTAAATTAATTTCAAATTTGAAACCATATATATAGCATATGACGTTTCTGGGGAAGCCTTGAACACTGCAAAAAATTAAGAACATGCATGCAGCTTCACGATTTGTCATCTTTGCTGTAAGGAGATCAAATCAAGTGGAATGTGACTGGTGAGACATACAGCATATGTGGGTGTGGGGGAATAACATTGCCCTGATACAGAACTTAAATAAATGGCATGGAGTCAATTCAGTTGGATCAGGTTTAGGTCCAGTGGCAAACTCCTGTGAATATAGCAATGAATCTTAAGGCTCCATGAAAGGCAGAGACATAGAGATATTTCGAAGATAATACAACTTTAAGCTGTGTTGCAAAACATGCATAGAAAGTGCATGAAACAAAACATGTAATTTAATGGCTTTGCAAACACACGTAGCAGCATCAATTCATGACAAATTATAGTATATCTGGGTTTTGAGCAACTTTCTCAACACATTAATATGCACAATGTGAAGTTTCTGCATAACACATGGCCATCAGGTTACATAGAAAGCCCTGATTTTTATTCCACGATCCAGACATAACAATGCACTTTTCAAAGACGACAGTGCCCCCACTCACACAGCTGGAACTGTTCAGTCATGGTTTGAAGAGCATGGAGATGAACTTTTAACATCTTTCCTGGCCAGTGCTATCACCAGATTTGAATATCACTGAACCATGCATCAGTTCTGGAGACTACAGTGAGGAACCATTTCCCACCTTCAATATCTCTAAAGTGACCTGAAGACGTTCTTTATGAAAAATTCCACTACAGACTGTTTAAAACTTGAGTCCATTCCAAGGACTGCTGCTGTACTGAAGGCAAAAGGCGGTCCAACACCATATTAATAGAAAAATGTCTACAGTATCTGCAGTGTTTCCACTATTTTGTCCAATGCCTCTATATATGCCATCACAACAGATACCAGGAAGACCATTACAAATACTAAACCATTCACAATGCCCTCTGTCACCCAGCCACATCAACCCCTCCAATCAACGGATTCCTGATTAAAACATGCAGACATCCATCAAACAGCATAAAACACTCACCCCTAATACACAAATATTATATACACACAGTAAGGAAAATCAACAAGCATAGGATGGCAGATCTTGTCACAAAATTAAGTAATGAATCATGGGACAA